ATGGGAGCAGCTGGAAATGTTACAGATCAAAACTCCAATTTGACTTTAGACTTATGAAGGATTAGTAAGTTTCAGGAGAGGCAGAGTTTTTTTTTTTTGTTTGTTTTTTTATGAGCAACAGCAGCTGCACAAACAACGTGAGTCACCTGCAGCAAACGTTTCTTAGGCTTTGCTGGCTTTATCATGTGCTGTAATAAGTTACTAACACAAATAAGTTGTGGGTGTGGAGCCCTGCCTTTATTGCATTTTAAAACATTGTTTTAAATCCTAGATTAGTTTGAGTATAGCTTCGCAACGCAAGTAAGAAAAGATTAACATGCTAAATTTACATGATTCTCATTTAGTTAAGAATGGGTAGGCTGTGTGGCTCAAAATATTATAGTTTTGTTATTTTCTACCTGAAATACTTTCAGTGAAATGAAGGAATCACAGCCGTGGTTTGTTTGCAGTTTGTGTTGTGACATGCCGTCATGTAGGGTTGTTATCCACCGGTTGATACATGCCTCTGGCTCTTTAAGAAAACTGGTTGTTCCACTGAAAATGACCAGTATTCAAACTGCCTCGCCTGTCTTTCATTAACAACAGGTGGGCCAACTGTATGCAAATAGATGCTGTGTTCAGTTAACGTCGCTTTGTTTTAGGAAAATTCAAGAGAGGCTCACAACTTAATGTTGAAACAGTCACATTTTGGGTTGCAACCTAGTGTTTATATGCTTAGAAAGCAAATATGATCACTTGAATTTTTTTTATATTTATACACATTAATTATTTTATGAATTTAATAGGTTAGTTTACATCTTTTAGAGAAAAATGTTGAAAATATGTCTACAAATATTTTACTCAATAAAAAGTCCCTCGTTCATATAGAAATCTTTAGTATGCTTAATACCCCTTGGTTGTGTCATATTGCACTTTTTGTTGTTGATGTTGTTTTTTCTTTTAAATTAGCACCATTGCATAGAGCATTTTGAATGAGTTCAAGATTTTAAAACACAGCAAAGGGCATAAGATACAGTGACCTGCAAAATATGTACATATCCCTCTAGCATATTCAGTCAACACTTCATGTGTTTTGGGGACAGACTGTAAAGTACCATACCACTTTATTTCTAAATCAAACCAAAAATGCAAGACAGAGGAAAAGAACAAAACAATATAACAGATATAAAGCATCGTAGCTTTAGAAAATTTTAAATAGTATGGTATTGTATAGCAAGACTAGAAGATTAAGACACAGTTGCTTATTCACCATAGGCGATGTTTAAAGTTAGAGATGGA